AAGAGCGAGCCCCCCCAGCCACGGGGAGCTCCCGTGCTCTCTGGGGCTGGGAGCCATCGGCCCCGCGTCGATGGCAGTTGCGGGAGCTCTTGCTGCTCTGGCCATCCCCAGTGCCTCAGCCCAGGGCTGCAGAGGGCTGGGGCCATGGAGAGCAGCACGGTCCCCTCGTGCCGTCGAGGCGGCTTCCGCGCCCTCCCTGCAGCTGCTTGGGACAAAGCAGGTTACTAGAAAAGGGTGCCGTTGTGTCATGAGCAAATAATAAAAATATTATTTGAGCAAATGAGTCAGGAAGCGTCTGGGCTGGTGTCCCAGGCTGGGGCAGCCAAATTCTTCTGTCCATCAGTGGCAGAGCGGGGTGCTGCAGCGCTGCGGCCCCGCGGGGCATCGCTGGAGCGGTGCTGGCGCCCTGCCCGCCGGCCCGGCACCCGGCGCAGCCCCGGCCAGGGATCTGGATGAGGGAATCGATAGGGCTGTTGTGTAGTTAAAACCAGAAAACCTCTGGGTTTTCTGGGCGGGAAGGAGGTTTCCCCTGATCCTGGCTGCAGCAAGCCAGGCCTTCAGTCACCCTCTGGCATGGTGCTCTGGTCTGCTTCGTGTCCTGGGCATCTGCTGGAGCTCGTCCTCTTTCTGCCCGGCTCGTTCCATCAAACCAGCCGTGTATCTCACCTTTGCTCCTGCTATGTCCCCTGCGGCCCCGGCACCCGCCGGGCCTGCCCCGCTCAGGGCTCGGGCCTGCAGGGCAGTTGCTCCGTGCTGGATGGGGCGGCTGCCCTTTTCTCAGGGAGCCGTGGCCTCGGGAAGGTCCTCGGCAGCCAGTGTAGCTCACCAGCTGCTCCCTGACGTGTCCCCTATGTGTGTGTAAGTGCTGAGCTGGTGTCTGCAGTGTCCCACTGAGGAAGGACCTGGAGGAAGGACCATCCGTGTCCTTTGAGAGAGGAGGTCCAACTCCGCTGTCGAGGGCTGGAAGACTGAGGTCCCATGGGGGAGCTGGGATTGTGGAGCCTTCCTGCAGAGCAGCAGGCTTCCCTGGTGGTGACTGCTTGGTGTCTCTCTCCATGTCCCCTCATCTCCCACAGTGGAGAACAGGCAGCTGACCCTGAACCTGCAAACTGAGAACAAAGGCAGTGTTGTCTCCGGCGGCGAGCTGACGATTTTCCTGGACGGGCCTGCTGTTGATCTGGGAAGCCTGCCTAATGGCAGTGCCGTGACAGAGGGTGAGTGCCGCCCAGCTCCGCATGCATGCAGCAGCTCTGAGCACGAGGCGGTGAGCAGCGGCGGGGAGAGGAGTGGGGCTGAGATCACAGCCCTCAGGACCTCTGAGCAAACACCCGAGTGCCAGCAGCCACCTCCCCTCCCAGGTAAGGCTCCGGCTCCTGCCTGTCCCCACTGCAGCTTGCTCGTGGGCTCCCGTGGGAGCCGACGAGTGGTGGGACAGGAGTGGTGGCATTGACAGGACCGCGCTCCTGCCTCCCCAGCAGTGTGAAGGGAGCAGCTGGTCTCTGGGCCCTCCACAAACTGCCTGAGAGGCTTCGCCCCTTCCCTAGCTTCCCTGTGTTGGGTCCGGGAAATGTCTTCTGTGTTTGACGAGCTGCTCAGGTTGGCAGTTCCCTGTGGCCAAAGGGTGTGTGGGGAGGGGGTGCAGACTGCTGTCTGGCTGGTCAAGGCCTGCCCGGGAGGTAGCCATGGAAGATTCCACTTGTTTTGGGCACTGGTTTCCCTCAACTCCTTCCCTTCCCGCGTGGGAGCTGGTTGCCAGCCACCAGCACAGCTCCCGTTCTCTCAGCTCTGCTGCTTCCCCATGACTTTGGAAAATGGGACACCCAGGGGCTTTGCCACATGAAAGTTGCTGTGCAAACACTTGCCAGCAGATGCTTCCCCTGGATTTTAGTGTAAAGGACGGGTAATATGTTTAGCTTTTGTGCACTTGTGTTTCTGTTTCTAGAAGGAAGGAGGTTGGAATTAGTTGGTACCTTAGTCTCTTTCTTCATCTTCTTTTTCAACTATTCAGGGCCTCAAGCAACTGGACGGGAGCCCATCAACATGGCTGCAGCTACAGAGAGCAGACACCAGCCTCCCACTACGAACTGCTTTGGAAGCAGATCAAGGTAAGGATCCCTTGCCTGGCAGGACTTTCAGTGGGTGATGACTGAGAGCTAAGCAGTGTCTCGGTGGTCCTTTTACAGTGGATGTCACCCTAGATCTCTAGGTGACAACGCAGCCGTACAACCAAGGTGCATCTCGCCTGAGCCACTCGGGTGTTTCGTTTCTCAAGGAGTTTCAGGTCTGCGGTGGCTTGGACAGTGTCCAGCGGTTGCTGTGCTGGCAGCTGGGGGCATGGTGGAGCAGGGCTGTGTGCGGAAGGCTGTGGCTGGGCAGGTAGAAAGGAAAGGGCCTGGCCTGTGTAGGCTCCCTTCGAACGGCTCCTCAGGATTACATGGACCACACCTCTCCTGCCTTGAGCAGAGCCCTGGCCAGCAAGCAGAGTGCCCATCCTGGCAATGGGCGCAGTGGGAACACTTTGGAAAGTCTGGGAAGGGCGGGAGAAGCAACTCAAGCAGAGCTACAGGGATGTGACAGCTACTTTCAAAGAAAATGAGCTGCTTGGGCAGCAGGCCATCCTGCGCCTGGCACAGTGCCTTCCCTTGCCTGCTTGCTGGCTGCAGTGGCTCAGAGCTGCTCCTTTTGGAGCTGTGGTTATTGAGACGTGTCACACTGTCAACATGGAGTTGAATTTAACACCTATTTATATTTCCAGAGCATGGCAGTGGCCCAGCAGCCTATACAGATGTTCTGGTTAGGATTGTGTCTGCAGAGAGGGAGGCTGCAGCCTTGGCTCTGCGCAGCCTGCAGGCGCGACGCTCGGGGCGTTCTCAGCAGCAAGCTCTGTACTTTGAGTTCCTCTGCTCCTCCTTGGTCTGCCAGCCACAGACACGAGAAAAGTGAAGGGAAAAGGAAAGAAATGTTTTCCTCTCTCTAGAGTGACCCTATCCCTATCATGTTTGTCTCTCACCCAAGGAAGGAGTGGGGCAGGAAATAAGAAACAGATTGCTGCACATAGTTTGTGCCCTTCTGCTGCTGGTGCTAAAAAACTGCAGGCATAGGAGGTTTTCACAGGTGAGCTGCGTGCTCAGTGTCTTGCTGGGAGTTGGTGGCTATCAGTAGGTGCTAGAAAGCCTGAACGAAAGGTCTAGCTTAGGAGGCTCAGCCTGCTGCCTAGGTGCTTCTAGTTGCTCTTCTGCTGCCTGTAAATAGTTGATCCTCTTGCTTTCTTCTTGAGCTATGAGCCTGCTGAAGTGTGAGGAGTTCTGGGCAGCACTTTTGTAGATGTCCCTCAAAGACCTTCCAGACGTGGAAATCGTGTAAGCTCCTTAGCTGATAGAACCTCTTCTGCTGGCAGGTTGCTGAGCTGTTGACGTTGCAAGCCACAAGAGCCTGTTGACAATCATTAAAAATTCCCTGGCTTTTCTGCTCTGGGAAACCTTCTAGCTAGTTGTCCATTCACGCTTGACCCTCCTGAACGTAGGGTTTTTCTGGACATAATGCCACAATTTGTAGTGCTGCTGCATGGGGCAAAGCACTGCTGTCTGTACCCACCACAGAGGCAGCTGCTTTCTCCAGAGCGAAGTCCTGTGCACATGGGAAAACTGTTTGATATTTGCTCTGTTTATATGCAGAGCGCTGTTTATTTTCATGGGCTTGGTGATGGATGCTGGCAAACTCCCTCATAGGCTGGATGGAAAGAAAAGGGTCATTCTTTGCTCCTTAGCAGTTTCTACTCTCTCCCCTCAAGGGAAACTGCTTGGTCAGGGCTTCTCTTTCTTCTCCTGAAAAAAAGTCATCTTGGGATTTGCTGCTAACCTTGGTGACGGGGTGTGAAATTCCACAGCCTTCTGTGTGAGGAGAAAATAGAGAGCCCAGAGGTCTCCGGGGAGAGCAGGGGCCATGGGTGCAGAGGGAGTTGCCACAATCCCCATCTGTTTTATTGTGGCCAAAGAGGCCTCTTTTGACACCAGGGAATGAAGTAGTCTGGTTTGGTACTCACCTTCTGTGGAGCCTCGGGCTGTCAAACCATGTGTTGTGTTTGTGATCTGACCACGGGCATGTGAAACTTCACTGTCACCTGTCACCAGTTTGTGCAAACTCACGTGGTTTCTCTCGCTCTTTGCTTTCTCTACTTTCTGATGTCCCAGATTCACAGGTCAACTAGTGGTGGGTTTGGACATCCCTGAGGGCAGGTGGGAGATGCCCCCATGGGTCACTCAGTCTGGTATTTTCTCTGTCCCCATCATGGGAACCCCTTGCTCTAGGATGCTCCACAAAGCCCTGCACGTGGCCATGGGACTTTCCTGTCCATGGGGCTTCTGGTGTGGTCTGCAGCAGGAACAGTCTGTGATCCGCCATTCGCAGCTCCAGGCCCGTGGAGAAGGGAGGCATGGAGAGCTCCTGGGGTTGGAACGGGCGCTTTGTTCAGGGCCTCAACGAACAAGTTGTGAAATGCATCTCTGGGATCAGCAGGGAGGAATCTGGAAGGTTTTGGGTAACTGGAATAAGCTGGGTGGAGCTGAAGCACATTTTGAGGTGACTTTTAGCTGTTTTCAAAGGATGGGTTATAAAAAACCCGGTTATAGCCTCAGGGACACGGGACCAGATAGACGCTGTGCTCCTGCTGGAGGGCTGGCCTGCCCCAAACCCCAGCGTCTCGCACGTCCGTCGCGGTGCGTCGGGGCTGGGGACCTGCAAAGGGCCGTGCTCCGAGGCCAGCCTGGCGCGAGCGGCCTCGCAGGGCCAGCGCGAGCGCCGCGGGGGAGAACGGCCGGGCCCGGGGCCGAGGTGGCGCTGGGGATGTTCTGCCCTGCAAGGCCCGAGGGCAAAGGGCCGAGCTTCAAGCTGTTCCTAAACGTGCGTGGCCTCTGCTCCCTGCCTTGCAAACAAGAAAGCTGGGAGCAGGGGCCCTAGGCCTCCGTCTCCACGTTTTTCTGGGAGAAGGAATTTCTCAGCTTGGTGTTTCCTGGTGGAGGCTGAGGGCAGCGGGCGCGGAGCCTCCCCGGTGCCCTCGTGGTGATGGGGATCTCCCTCCGGCTGCAGCACTGGCGTCGCCCCCTCTCCTGTCACCGGGGCGTCAGGGATAGGACAGGGATAGCACGGCTATATCCCTATATAGCCTATATCCCTATATCTGGGAGGAGGAAGCTCGTGTCGGAGCCAGGGAGGAGCCCAGGCCTCCTACCCTGCGCAAGGCCGGGGCTCGGCCTCGGAGGAAGAGCAGGAGCCGGAAGGTTTGTGTCATCCTGGCTGGCGCCGCTTTCCTTTTTGGTGCAGGCTCTGCCTCTGGCCCAGGAGGAGCAACGGGGCAGAGCGCGGGACGGGGCAGCGACCCCAGATCCTCCGTCGGAGGGGAGCGACGGGGCTGCCGCTGCTGCCGGGGGGCAGTTCCCAGCGATGCTCTGCCTTGTTTTTTCCCTGCTCCTATTTTAAGAGCCTGTTCCCGGCGCTGTCACGTGGCCCCCCTGGGTTTGTTTCCACGCGTCTATTAAAAGACAATGCCCAGATGGGAGCGCTCGTAGGAGGGCTGGGCTGGGCGGCCGGCTGCCTAATTCAGGCCTAGTAACCCTATGTGGCCGGCTGGCAGCCTGGAAACATCCTGTTTTGGTTTCTAAAAACTCCCTGGGCAGCTTTTAGCTCCTCGGTGCTGAGAAGGGCAGGGCCAGGATCCATCCTGGGCCTTGGCCTTGGCTCCCGGCGCGGCCGGCCCGGGCTGGCTCCGTGCCCGGCCC